ATTCCAGTCTTAAAACCTCTATACATACCCTTTGTCCCCTTGTTCTTTCCTCTATTTCCCTTTATTTTCCTCTTGTCCCACTATTATGCTCAGCCTTCATTTGGGTTTCAGTGATTTCTCTCGGTTACATTGCCCTTGCTGAATCCCTACCAGGCCTCTCACACCCTCCTTGCCACTGTTTTTGGATCACTTGTTGCACCCCTTTCCCTGAGTTGGTCAGCACCACCTCCTTAACCCTGCCTCCCCCTCTCCCGTGTCCCCTTAGAACCATTGGTCCCTTTGTTTTCTCCTCCAGACTATGCATCCAGTCTATCTTATCTAGATAGATCTGTAGAGATAATAATCTGCATCAAAAACCAAGCCATAACAAGATAGGCAATCAGTGAGAACACATCGATGACAACAAAAAAGGAAACCAATTACCCATAGAAGAATAAATTAATTAAAAGAAAAAAATGTTAAGCAGAAAGAAAAACCTTTATATAGATCAAGGTCTGATTTTTTATCTCTAGGTGTGTCCTTCAGTCAGGACTGATGGGGTACCATGCTCTGATCCCAGAGTCTGCCCTTTGTACTCCCTCAGGGCCTCTCTGCTCTGCTCCCACGGTTGCTCTGCTGCATGCTTTTTGTGGTTTGCCTCTGTGTCTCAGGGTCAGTCTGGGCTAATCCCGACACTGAGTCTCCAGTGTTGTCCCCCTTAGAGCCCGGGGGCCATCAAGGGACAGCGTGTCGAAGTTTGTTTATTTGTTTGTTTGTTTGTTTGTTTGTAGAGGCTGTCTTCATTTCCCAAGACAAAAAAGTAGACATGCACTACAAAATAATCTGAATGTTTCTTTAGTCCAGAGGAAGACAAGCAATGGTCATCTACTGTTGACTTCTAAGTTTAGGGAGATACATCCCTTATGTCATCAAGGGAAAGAAATTTCTGTGGCTACCATTTAACCCACAAAGAGACATATAGGAGATTGTGGGGGAAGAAATCGAGGAAAAGGGATGATGATAAGTTAGAGGGGGATAAAAAATAATCTATGGAATTACAAAACAATGATTAAAATAACCCAGAGCAAAATGAGTTGTGCATGTTATATGGTGATATTGAGTTACATATTAAATAGATTCATGATCTTATAAAATTTTCCTAATTTTCTCAAAAATAGATGTTTATAAGAGAAATATCCTGGAAGAGAAAGAAAATCTCCATTTTACTGAAATAACTTTAGTGAATATCCACATAATTTCTATATGACCTGAATTACTTCTTTTTCTTTTTTTCAATAGATGATAACAAGGTCTTTAAGAACAGATTGCTAAGAAGTCCAAAGTTTTTTATAGGTGAGTGAGGACCTGGCAGAGTTTAATTATGTTGTACATGAGGTCACTGTGGGTTAGAGCCAACTTAATGGCACTTAACAACAACAACAATGAAGAGGAATAATGAAAATGCTTTATGATATATTAAATAGGAGAATGCTGCCATCTTTCATATATAGTAATGGCAAATATGGACCTTTATTAGAGCTCAACCTTTACTTTAGCAGATGTATTGTTCATGTTGTGTCTTGAAATAAAGTCCCACATTCCTAACTTCCCAAAATTTGCATGAAATGAGTTATCAAATTTTAAGTTTGCTTTTAAAATTACAGAAAAATTATCAATGGATCAGATAATTGAATCAACAAAAAGAAAAATACTATACCAGGGGCCCAGCCCCATAAATTGTTCATATAGGGAAATATGTCTCTAGAATAGAACTCCCTGCACATTTATTCAACACCATTTAAAACTTTGTGTTATATAGGATGGTCCCCGAGACAGGTCCCAAAGAAAAGAGCTTTAGTCACAACTTTATAGTTGACTTCTTTGCAGATTTAAAGTAGTATATACTAAAATAGTTTTTGACCATTTATTTTTTTACTTTAAAATAAATACCCATAAATTTAGGTCAGTAGGTTTTGAGACTTTTTATGAATGCTAAAAGACAAACAAACAAGTACAACAGGTGGTATGGATTCTTGTGTGTCAGAATAGAGATGTGCTCAATAGAGATTTCAATGGCTGATTCTTTAGTAGTAGGTCACTTGGCTGGTTCCCCAGGAGCCTCTACCTTTCAGTTAGCAATGAGCATGTGAACTGTTTGTAACCATTTGCAACACTCAAGGTCTCCAGGTAAATAATACCCCTAAAATAGTCTGCAAACTAAGAACAATGACACACTGCTCAAGAAATGCACAGTGCGGTATGTGTCTCAAAAAATGTTTTAAAACCCTGCTTTTGGAGTCATTTAATTTTCTTCACAACTATTATTTTCCTTAGGTGGGAAGGTCAATGTCAATAACCTGGATACTGTTCTGGACAACATGGGAGTTAAACTCTCAGATAAAGAACTTGAAGATCTGACACAAAACATACACGTTGGTAGTAAGTATGCTGTCAGATAAACTAGTTATCTCAAGGAGAGTTTAGTAAAAAGCACTATTGAAAATGCATAAGGGAGGAACTGCCCTTTTCCATAGAGGGAAAGGGGAGAGCAAAGAAGAGCAGTATGGTGATATACATATCATTGACCAAGGCATCTGCAATGTCAGTAAGCATATATCAGCCGGCTAACAAAGTTGGTATTTGTGACTTTGACCTCTTAGAGAACAGAACTGTTTGACCTCTTAGAGAACAGAAACTGCACCACTACAATTGTGTAATTTACATATTAACATTTTTTCTTCATGCTTGTTTCTTGTTAGGCACCTGTGTACAATAGAACAAAGCACTGCCCAGTCCTGCTCTAGCCTCCCAATTGTTCTTATGCCTGACCCTTTGTTGCAGCCACTGTGTCAATCCATCTTTACAGGCCTTCCTCTTTTTTACTGCCCTTCACTTTACCAAGCATGATGTCCTCTTCCAGGGACTGGTTTATCCTGACAACATGATAAAAGTACATTAGGCAATGTCTCCCTATCCTTGCCTCTAAGGAACATGATAACTATACTTCTTCCAAGACAGATCTGTTTGTTCTTTTGACAGTCCACAGTACTTTCAATATTCTTCACCAGCATCAAAATTCAAATGCATCCATTCTTTTTTAATCTTCCTTATTCAGTATCCAACTTTCACATGCATATGATGCAATTGAAAATACCATGACTTGGGCCAGGTACAACTTAGTCCTCAAAGTAACATTCTTGCTTTTCAGTACCTAATGCAACACATCTTTTGAATTCTTGACTGCTGCTTCCATGAGCATTGATTATAGATCCAAGCAAGACAAAATCCTGGACAACTTTAAACTTTTCTCCATTTATCGTGATGTTACCTATTGGTCCAGTTGTGAGGATTCTGGTCTTCTTTACACTGAGTCACAATCCATACAGAAGGCTTCAATCCAGATGGATTCGGGCTTCCACTGACTCCTAACCCCAAGCCGAGAACAGTTAGTTCTGATAACATGGCCCTGCTCCATACTCCCCTTCATGAAAGGATCACTGAAGATAAGGGTGCTATAGCAACATGTGATGAAGAAAGCAGATGGTGCCTGGCTATTTACTGGAATAATGTCTGAGGTTTTAAAGGCTTGTATTCAAACAAGTGAGGAGTCAACTAAGTCCACATGGAACAACACTATCCTGTGTGATCCAAAGATGACGATAATAAAATCCAAATATGACGAAGGGAAAAGGGTCAGAGCTTTGACATCTCGTGATCGCACAGGCTGGTGTGCTTCTTCCATGTGGGCTTTGTTGCTTCTGAGCTAGATGGCTGTTTGTTTACCTTCAAGCCTTTAAGACCCCAGATGTTATATCTTTTGATAGCCAGGCACCATCCGCTTTCTTCACCACATTTGCTTATGTTCAACTTTTTCTTCAGCAATCGTGTTGGGAAAGTGAGCATCATGGAATGCCAATTTAATAGAACAAAGTATTCTTGCATTGAGGAAGTACTTGAGTGGAAGCCTAATGTCCATTTGCTACCTTAATACTAAACCTATAAATATATGCACATAGATCTATTTCCCCATCCTCATTTATAAATATATTTATATATGTACATGCCTTTATTTAGACCTCGATAAATGCCCTTTGCCTCCTAGTTCTTTCCTCTCTTTCCTTTTACTTTATTCTTGTCCCACTATCATGGTCAGCCTTCATTTGGGTTTCAGTAATTCCTCTCGGTTACATTACCTTTGATCACACCCTACCAGGCCTCCTATACCCTCCTCACTTCCAATTTGGATCACTTGTTGTTCCCTTGTCCCTGGGTTTGTTAATACTACTACTTCTCCCCCACCTCCCCCTCTCCCATGTCCCCCCCAGAACCATTGGTCCCGTTGTTTTCACCTCCAGATTGTTCATCCAGCCTATCTTATTTAGACAGACCTGTGGAGATAATAACATGCACAATAACAACACAGAGCAAAATAAAGCAACAAAAGAAAACAAAACAATAACAACAACAAAAAGCCAATGACAACAACAACAAAAAAGAAAACCCTGTAGTTAGTTCAAGGACTGTTGATTGGCCTTTATGAGTGTTTTCCGGTCAACTCCAATGGGGTGCCAAGCCCTGGCCCCAAAGTCTAGTTTTGGTATTTCCTGGGGACTTCGTTGCTCTGTTCCCCTTGCTGTTTTGTTGAATGCCCCTAGTGTTTTGCCACGGTGTGGTGGGATCAGATCGGGCGCAGTTCCCACACTGTGTCTCCAGTGTTGTCCCCTGTAGGGCTGTGGGTCAGGGATGTCATGTCTCATAGTGGGACCAACCATATGGTCTTCTCTGTGGATTGGCTGCTCTGAGCAGGAATATCTTCCTCAAGGCTTAGTGGGCCAGGATGTGCTCCACTCTCTCTTCCTCCCACTTCATTTGCTGCTGTGTGCTCTGATCACACATGTCCCTCTCCCAGAGCTGCAGTTTCAGTGCTGTCCTCTGAAATAAATTCTTCTGGGGGGAGGGGTAGGTGACATTGACCATTCTTATGCCATCCTCACAATTGCCGTTATGTTGGAGCCCATTCTTGCAGGCAGATATTGTGTCATTCCATCTCCCTGATGGTCTTCCTCTTGTTTTGCTGACCTTCTACTTTACCAAGTCAAATGCATCAGTTCTTCTTTAATCTTCTTTATTCATTGTCCAACTTGCATAAGCATATGACACTACTGAAAATACCGTGCTTTGGACCAGTCACACCTTAGTCCTCACAGTGATACCCTTGCTCTTCAACAACATGAAGAAGGCTCGTGCAATAGATTTGTTTGATGAAGTACATCTTTGATCTCTCTTTTTTTTTTTTTTAATCTTTGATCTCTTGATCGCTGCTTCCATGAGCATTGATTGCTGATCCAAGCACATTGCAGTCTTTGATCTTCATCAGCAAGTTCTTCAAGAATCATGGGCTTTCAGCAAGTAAAATTGTGTCATCTGCATATTGCAGGTTGTTCATGAGCCTTCATCTAAGCCTGATGCTGAATTCTTCTTCATATAGTCTAGCTTCTCGGATTAGTTGTGCAGCATATAGATTGAATAAGTATTGTGAAAGGATACAGCCCTGATGCACACTCTCCCTGATTTCAAGCCCTATAGTATTCTCTTGTTGTTGTTGTTTTTAAACATTTTATTAGGGGCTCATACAACTCTTATCACAATCCATACACACATCAGTTGTGTAAAGCGCATATGTACTTCATTCTCAAAACATTTT